AAAATCTAGTCAGTTAATTCACTGCTGTGTCTTAAAAACCCAACCAGAACAACTGTAGAGGAGGAAAAGTTTATTCGAGGGCTCACAGTTTCAGAGGTCTCAGTTCTTAGAAATCCAACCCCCCAAAACCAAAAGCCAAATGTTTTCTCTGATAATCGATGATGATCCATAGTAGGGTGGAGGGATAGGGAAGAATGAAGGATCTTTGGTTTCTGTAGAGGGGAGTGAGGTGAGGGGTGGGGCTGTGGGGATGGGAAGGACAGTAGAATGAGGCAGACATTATTACCCTATATACATGTATGATTGCACTACTGGAGTGACTCTGCACCATGGACAGCCAGAGGAATTGGTCCCTGTCCCCAGTGGCAATCAATGCCAATTTAATAATGAGGACACAGTGTGTCTCTTTTGATCAGGAGGGACAGGGGGGTTAAAGGAACTTCAAGGGTTACATTCCAGGTGTGCTCTGGTAGGGGGATCCCAGGGTGCCTTGATGGCATGTGAGAATTCACATTTTAATTTGGGAGATATTCACTTCCCAGATCCTCAGCAGGCATCTCCTTCCTGTAGTGGGTGTGTTCAAGGGCATTAAACTAGGGAAAGAAAGGGTAACACTGTCTCCCTAATCTGGTTAGGGATGGGAGAGGGGAGAAGAGAAAAAACATTTTGTAAAAATATAAGCTTTATGGGCTGGGGTTGTGGCTCCGTGGTAGAGTGCTTGCATAGCATGTGTGAGACCCTGAGTTCAATCCTCAGCACCACATGAAAATAAATAAAATAAAGGTAGTGTGTCCAACTACAACTAAAAAATAAACATTTAAAAAAAATAAGCCTTAGAGCAATGAAGGCTACATTCATAAGGTGAAGGTACCACTGTTACAGAATAAGAAGTTGTGCTCCATTTGTGTACAATATGTCAAAACGCATCCTACTATAAAATAAAGAAACAAATTTAATAATAAATAAATACAGTTGATTGCCATCTGTGTACCTCAGTGCTGACACAGTACACCCAGATGCGATGAATAGTGCCTCCAAATGCAGAAAAGACTACAAGGCCTGGTGGGTGACTCTTTGTTCAAAACTGTGCATTTAAGGTAAAACAAAATTTTTCTGTCTTTGAGGCAATGTGCTGATGGTCCCCAAATGATTTGACTCCTAGAACTGTGCCAACACAACAGGTCCGCTGAGTTCCAAGAGATCTATCTTCCATTTCCTGATACTTCTGTGTTGTGCAGTGCATCTAGAGCACCTGCAATTTCCTTGTCACTGCATCAAACCAACATCATGTAATCCCCTACTTAGATCTGCAGTCCGATGGGATGGGATATGACCAGACCCTATTACATTTCTCCCTCAAGGCTGTGATACCTTGAGAATCTATTCCCACTAGTATTTCCCTGATGTTTGCCGATATGACTTTACAAAATCTTGCAAGTTTTAAAGTGTGAGAAACTTCTCCTCCATTGTTTTACATTCTAATTGGCCCCTGAGACACAGAGGACCTAGTTATCCTGGAGGGATGAAGGATAAGAGAGAGGAAGCATGAGGGGAAATTGCTGTCTTCCTTCACCAGAACACACAGGAGATGAAGTTACTACAAACTGGGAAGTCAGGATTCCTTTTTCAGATGGATGTAGGAGCACTTTGGTTGGCAAGGGAGGTCCTGGTTCTCAGGATCCAGTTCTTACCCAATTAGTGTGCTGCTCTTTAAAACAAGATAATTGAAAAGGCTGAGAATTCAACCTACTTTGAAATTTAGCAACTTGCAGGATCTAACTCTATCTGATTTTTGGCTGTGCGAACTGAGCGATTATTTTGTAGTAGACAGAGAAAGCTTCTGCTTGTCTGATCACTCATTAAACTGAGAATTTTTAACATTGAGCTTATCTCCAGCACAATTAGAAGCATCTAGGGCAGCCATAAACCTTATAGTCCTTATGTTTCCTCCCTATACTTTTCTATCACAAGAGTCATTCAATATGTCTGCATC